CCCAGTTATCATCCCCCCCCAACATCTAAATGACAGATTCCAAATCCTTGGAATAAAAATAGATAAACTAACTATTTTAGCAATCTACAACCCTCCAGACCTCCGCCTCCCCCAATACGAAATCAATAGAATTCTACAAGGTATACAAGGCCCCTATCTAATTATGGGAGATTTCAATGCACAAAACCCAATGTGGGGCTCAACAAACAAAAATGCAAATGGAGATATCCTAAACGAAATAGCTGACCATCACAATTTAGTAGTCCTGAATGACGGCTCTCCAACAAGATTAACCCCTCCTCCTTCCGTCAGCGCTCCAGATGTCATCCTCGCTACTCCATCAATCTCGCGTACTACAACATTTCAAACAATACAGGATCCAGGATCAAGTGATCACTTCCCGATCAAAATAGAGATAACCAACAGAAATTCACCTTCCGCAACCCCCAAACCTCCAAACAAAATATACAACACAAAACTGGCAGACTGGAATCTTTACACATCTCTCTCTAACTCGTCCCATATAATATCTATCAACTCCTATAAAGAAATTATAAAATTCATTCTCAACGCAGCTGACGCAGCCATTCCTAAGCATAGGGAAAACAAGAGAACCAAGCCTCACTGCCCATGGTGGTCAACAGAATGCTCTAGAGCAATAAAGGAGAGAAAATCAGCCTTTCAACAACTCAAAAGAGATTTCAACCTGGACAACTTCCTCAAAGCCAAAAAAACAGCTGCAACCACCAAGAGAATTCTAAAAACGGAAAAAAAGAAGAATTTCCACAAATTCTGCGAGGACCTCAAACCAGATACGAATCTGTCCACAATATGGGCAAAGGTAAAACAATTCTCCCCCCAAAGAATCGCCTCCAATGAATCCCATAGCCTCAGAATTGATAAATAAACTGTGCCCTCCGTTCGTCAATAATGTACTCCCATCAACAAGGTTTAGTCAAAATATGTGTCACGAATTTTCCATGTCAGAACTAGAATACTGTCTAAACAATAAACAAGACTCTGCTCCAGGACTGGACGGTATCACATACTCTATGATAAATAATCTTCATAAGTCCACAAAATTCAAACTCTTAGACTTCTTCAACAAAGTTCTCACCAAGAAAACTCCCCCTCCATCAGATTGGCTACAATACTTGATAATCCCGATCCTTAAACCTAAAAAAAATCCCATGGACCTAACTAGTTACAGACCTATATCCTTAAGTTCCTGCGTACTAAAACTACTCGAATCACTTATAAAAAACAGATTAGAACACTGCCTAGAAACAACAAACATCCTATACCCTTTTCAATTCGGGTTCCGAAAAGGAAAAAGTATATTGGATCCACTAGCCTTTATAACATCAACTGTACAAACCGAACTCGTAAAAGGGAACCACTCAATCCTAGCAACCTTAGACATCGCAGGAGCGTTCGATAACGTAGTTCTTCCCATCCTATATCCCCTCCTCGCCGAATCTAACTTTCCGAAAAATATAGCAGATCTAATTCTAAAACTTTATGGAAACAGACACATATATATATTCGATCCAGAAGCCAAAGACTATAAACTCGGTCCCAACACAGCCTCCCTCGGGCTCCCCCAAGGCTCAATCCTCAGCCCTCTCCTCTTCAATGTATACACCAATCTACTACATCATAACGCCTTCATGCAATGTAAAATCATCCAATATGCCGACGACCTTGCCGTCCTGTGCTCTGGCCCCAACGACAATACCCTCGTGGATTCAATCAACTACACCCTCGACCATATCAACAACTGGCTACTAGACCATGGCTTGAATATAGCCCCCCACAAAAGCTCTGCCATTCTCTTTAGGAAAACATCTACTTACCGCCCCTTAAATAACATACATACAACCGGTCAAATAATCCCTTGGGCAGATTCTATAAAATATTTGGGTGCCACATTAGACTACTCGCTAAGCTGGAAAGAACATATAGACCACGCATGCATCAAGGCGTCCAAGAGGCTAAACATTTTAAGAAGTTTATGTGGTACAAAATGGGGGGCGGACCCCCGAACTCTACTTCTGATTTACAAAGCATGTATAAGGCCGTTCCTGGATTTTTGCAGTCCCCTCTTCTCTCGAGTACCCAAGACCCACATTTTAAAACTATCAAAAATCCAACACCAAGCATTAAGAATTATAGGAGGATACATGAAAACTACCCCAGTTAATGTATTACTAGCGGAAATCGGGGAACAACCACTCCACCTAAGAAGGGAATGGCTGGCTTCCAAGTATGTAGGCAGACTGTTCTCCTTGGAAAACCACCCAGTCAAAGGAAAATTTATAGGCGTCTACTCGGACTACTATGACGACGGAATATACTGGGCAAACAAATCTCCTCCCCCTATAATCTACGCATTGGACTTTTTTCTCAACAAAACCGCCTCGATAAAAACTTCCCCCCTCCTTCCCTGCTTCAATACAAACTTCGACTCCATCACCGTTACTCGAAAGATCCACGTTCCCGCCCTCCAAAAACAAACTGACAATAAACAGGCTTTTCTGCACTTCTGTTTCAAAACAAATGGAAAGGCTGGGAAGCCTACTACACGGACGGCTCAGTCAGCCAAGTCGGAGTTGGGTCAGGAGTTTATAGCCCTTCCAATCAACTAAAATACTCCGCCAGACTCCCAAACCATGCCTCCATAGCGACAGCAGAATGCTTCGCAATTGCTCAAGCTCTGTTACACGCTACAAACAGCCATATTCAATCCGGAAGAAGACACTTCATTATCCTCTCAGACTCCCAGGCAGCACTTAAAAAAATATGTAACACCAACAACACCGCAAAAAAAGACTCTCTCACATTTCAAGCTAAGACCACCTTACACAATCTAGAAGTACGGGGAGCCAAAGTAGAATTCTGCTGGGTCCCCAGCCACACGAACATCCCCGGCAACGAAATAGCGGACAACCTAGCCAGCAAAGGATGCAAGTTGGAAGACCTAACAGAAACAAGATCACCCTATGAAGATCTCATAAAACTCATAAAACACGACATACACAAGAGATGGAAAAACACATTTAAGGAAAACCTAACGCAATCAGGCAGATTCTACTCCACACATACACCAGAACTTCAAAAGCCTTGGATCTCAATCAACTCTCTTGATAGAAGACACATCACTACCTTCCTGAGACTAAGAAGTGGTCACTGTCTCACAAAATCCCATCTGCATAGAATTGGCTTAGAAACCAGCCCTTCGTGTGACTGCGGAGCCACGGAACAAGACCTCCACCACATCTTTCTAGAATGTACAACACAGACAGACCACATCAACAACCTATATAGAAAATTAAGTAGAATATCCATCAATCCCATAAACCTGACAAATATCTTAAATAACCCCACGCACGAAGTTATAGTTGCAGTACTCGCCTTCCTAGATTCAACTAACACCAGGCTGTAAAACCCCCTGCACTCATTTGCTCTGACCTACCCGCTTTGCATGGCTACGCCTTACATATAAAACCTAATACCCAAATTCCTTTTTACCAGCACGTTAACAGCCAACATACTACCCCGGATAACGCCTAAGAATCCAGACCACTGGCTGATATGGTTTACACAGACCAAGGCCAATAAATAAAAAAGAAGAAGAAGAAGAATTGCATTTAAATTGTTTGATAGTTTTCTGTAAATTCAAAGTTTGGCTAAAAGCTAAAAGAATTTAAGTAAATTTTTAAGAATTTGTTAATTTAGAGTTAATTTGTAATAAATTTTAAAAGATTTAAATTAGCTGTACAACTTCATTTTAGAATGCGAAAAATCGTTATTTTATTAACTGTCAAAAACAAACGTCATGCTGACGTTTTCAATAAACATGATTTGTATTGTATTTTTTAGATTCTTCACCATGTTGGGATTTTTTAACAATAAAACTCGTGTACTTAAAAAACCTTTTATTGATGGGTTCCAATCAATTAATACAAACATTAGAAAAGCAAGTCAGCGAATTTATTAGACACTTGGTGTTGGTCCAAAACATTAATAAATTAAAACTAAATTATGAAAAAAACTAAACGTGCCTAAATAGCTAAAAAACACCATACATCACAATAAATACTAATACTTTAATTAGTCCTAACCTATGTAGCTAAATTCTAGTAAATATACCTACTTACAAGGTGAATTAAAGGACCTCATGATACAAAATAAACAAAAATTCTTCCAACAAATTGGCAAAAAAAAGTATATAATCTGGTTCAAAAAACTTTTGTTGTGGTACCAATTCCAGTTGGCAACAAGTTTGGCAGAAAAAATATACAATCCATTTTTTGGTGGTACCTACCAATTTGTGTCAGATTTTCCATGATTTTGGTACTTTTTAAAATTTCGTAATATTTTTTATATTTTTAACAAGTTTGAAGAAGATTTTATAATCTGGTTTAAAACCAACACAAAACCATTTTGTTTCTAGTACCAATTTCAGTTTTTCCATAATTTTGGTATCTTTTAAAATGTTGTCATATTCATAGGCCATATTTTTTTTACTTTTTCAACAATTGTTAAGTTTAAAAAGAAAAAAGTTAAGTTAGATTTTTCATAATTTTGGTGCTTTTCAAATATTTTTTCACATTTTCAACAAGTTGGCAGAAGAAAGTATAAAAGATTTAACTTTGAAGATCATTTTAATCACCTTGTATATTTTTTAACCCCATTACAATTAGGTTAATGTTAATTGGATAAATTTGTCTTTAATAATCACTGGAAAAAAAAATAATTTTGTACTTTTTTTGATTAATTTTAATGGTAAATTGGCAGTTGTGAAAATCAATAATAATAATAAACTTATTTATCCAATTTTAACAAGTCAAAGGATAAGAGATAATGAATTTTAAACGATTTAAATTTCTAACGATTTAACAAAAAAAAACACTACAAAAGCTACAAAACAACGTAATTTTAATCATTTAAAATTACATATCACAGATAAAAAAAACGGGAATGTAAATAAACGTAAATTAAATGGATACGTCACCGTACTGCAAAGACCACTTCTCGTAGGCCACCAAACTCTGCGGACTCACGCTCCTTCGAATGCACTTGAGAGAGTCGAGGAAGTCATTTATGGTGATGCCACGAATAGCATTTGGATCCATGTGCTTAACTTGCTCGGGTTGCAGTTCTAAAAAAAATACGTATTTTTTTTTTTTTTTTACAACTCAACTTTTTTCTCACCTCTGATTGGTCCTAGAGCCGCGTCCTTGGCCAGAGCGGTCAGATCGCTGCCCGAGTAGCCTTCGGTCAGCGTTGCCAAACGTTTCAGCTCTTGCTGAGTGAAAGTGCAACCCTGCTTTGCCAGCAGTTTTCTGAGTAACTCGGCGCGAGTCTCGACGTTTGGCAACGTCACGTAAACTCTTTTGGGGAAACGTCGCAACGCCGCCTCGTCCAGCTCTTGCGGCCTGTTGGTCGCCGCCATTACCAGAACCTAAGTTTAATAGATTAAAAAAACCACACTTTTTATTTTAAACGCAAAATATCGCTGTTTAAGTAACTGTCAAAAACAAACGTCAAACTGACGTTTACAATAAACTTGACATTGTTTAAAGTGTTTTTACAAAATTTTCAAGGCATATTTTTAAGCAATTGTATTATTAAGTTTTAAGAATTCGTTAATTTAGAGTTAAAAAGGTATTTTGTAATTAATTTTAAAACATTTAGCTCTAAAAACTTTATTTTAAAATGCAAAAACAAACGTCAAACTGACGTTTACAATAAACATGACATTATTAAGTGTTGTTCCAAAAATTTTCAAGGCACCTATTATTTTTAAGCGATTTTAAGTAAATTTTTAATAATTCATTAATTTAGAATTAAAATGTTAATTTGTAATTAATTTTGAAACATTTAGCTGTAAAAACATTGTAAAAACTTCATTTTAAAATGCAAAAATACGTTATGTAAGTAACTGTAGATATGAACTGTCAAAAACAAACGTCAAACTGACATTTAGAATAAAAATGACATTATTAAAAGAGTTGTTCCAAAATTCTCAAGGTAAAATATTTCCAAGCAATTTTAAGTAAATTTTTAAGAACTTGTTAATTTAGAATTAAAAAGGTAATTTTTAATTAATTTTGAAACATTAAGCTGTAAATAAATTGTAAAAAGTTCATTTTAAAATTCAAAAAAAACGTCAAGCTGACGTTTACAATAAACATGACATTGTTAAGTGTTGTTCCAAAAACTTTCAAGGCACCTATTATTTGTAAGCGATTTTAAGTAAATTTTTAATAATTCGTTAATTTAGAGTTAAAATGTTAATTTGTAATTAATTTTAAAACATTTAGCTGTAAAAACATTGTATAAACTTCATTTTAAAACGTAAAAATACGTTATGTAAGTAACTGAAGATATGAACTGTCAAAAACAAACGTCAAAATGACGTTTACCATTAAAATGACATTGATAAAAGTGTTATTCCAAAATTTTTAAGGCACCTATTATTTTTAAGCGATTTTAAAGTAAATTTTCAAGAATTCGTTAATTTAGAAAAAAAATTGTAATTTTTAATTAATTTTGAAACATTTTACTGTAAAAAAAAATTATAAACTTAATTTTAAAATGCAAAAAATCGTTATTTAAGCAACTGAAGATATAAATTGTCAAAAACAAACTTCATACTGACGATTATAATAAACATGACATTGTTAAAAGTGTTGTTCAAAAATTTTCAAGGCATAATATTTTTAATCAATTTTAAGTAAATTTTTAAGAATTCGTTAATTTAGAATTAAAAAGGTAATTTTTAATTAATTTTGAAACATTTAGCTGTAAAAACTTCATTTTAAAATGCAAAAACAAACGTCAAACTGACGTTTACAATGAACATGACATTGTTAAAAGTGTTGTTCCAAAATTTTCAAGGCACCTATTATTTTTAAGCGATTTTAAGTAAATTTTCAAGAATTCGTTAATTTAGGAACAAAATTGTAATTTTTAATTAATTTTGAAACATTTTATTTAAAAAAAAAATTATAAACTTAATTTTAAAATGCAAAAAATCGTTATTTAAGCAACTGAAGATATAAATTGTCCAAAACAAACTTCATCCTGACGTTTACAATAAAAATGACATTGTTAAAAGTGTTGTTCCAAAATTTTTAAGGCATAATATTTTGTAACAATTTTTAAATATAACAAACTGTACAAAGCAATTCGTTTGCATAAAATTATAACTATAATTTAACAATTTTATGTTAAATCGCATAGAACCGTCAAACTGACGTTAGCAACAAATCTGACGTATCGAAAAGCGTCGTTCCAGGCACTTTCATGGCCACCTGAAACTCGACTCACCCTTTCGCTGTCGGGGTTGCTAGGCAACCCGTCGAACTCGACGAGGAATTCCGTTTTCAGCCGGCGACTCGCCTCGTGCTCGTTGTTCGAGCGCTCAGACAGCAGAGAGTCCACCTCGTCTATGAAAATTATCGACGGCTGCAACACGCGCGCTATCGCGAAAAGCGCGCGCACCATTTTTTCCCCGTCGCCCACGTATTTCGAGGTTAGACTTGCGGCGCTGATGGAAAAGAAAGTCGCCTAAAACAACAACGTCGCTATTCCGTGTCGAATTACATACCCAAGCAACATTTTAAGTAAAAATATTACTTAATTTAAGTAAATATTTCGTTAAATTAACCTTAAAAATTTACTTTGAAGTAAAACTTTTTTAAAAGTTATTTAATAAGTTTTATTTGCGTTATTTTTACCTATTTTAATAACCCTTAAGTTTCAACACTTTAAAGTATTATGAGGGACTTAATTTAACGGTAATTTTTACTTAATGCAGGGCTTCCACGGCTAAATTACAAATTTTATTTAGGTTTTATGTAAAGATTTAGGAGAAATAAAGTATGGAAATGAATTTCTTTAATTAAATAAAAACAACTCCTTACTACTTAAAAAATAAGAAAAAAAATTAATACTTCTTTTGTGAAAATAAGTTATATTAACTAGTTTTTTAGCCAAATCGCTCGACGAGTTTTTTTTAATAAAATTAAAAGTGAGGTAAAATTACTACTTTTGTATATACAAGTATTAATTTTATTTAAAAAAATGCGTCGATAGATTTGGTTAAAAAACTATGCCAAAATCAAATTTTAAGAAAAAATATGTTAACCGTTTAGTTAACTAACAGTAATTAAATCGGTAAGATTAAGAATAGTACAAGTCCAAAAGTAAAATGTTTGATAAAATATTTCAAAAAATCAGTTTTATAGTTCTAAATGCACATTTTTGTTAAAATATTTTAACTATTTTATGAAATATAATATTCATATTCTGTAAAAAAATTTATATCTTCTCACAAAAACGTATTTTAACCTTTAAAATTGATTTTAGAAAATAAATTGCCAAAATTAAATTTTTGGATTTCTACTGTTCTTATTCTCACTCATTCTTTAGATTGTTTACTATTTTGGCTGTCATTTAAAAGAAAATTAATAATCCTTTTGTCTAAAACAAACGAAATATGCCTAAAAATGACAATTTTGTAGAAGATTTTTTTAGTTTTTTAATAAGAATATTTGGTTGTGATATTAAATCATTTTAAAAAGAATTTAATAAAATAGAACCTAAAAATATATATTTTTAAATTAATTTTTAAAAAAGATTTTTTTTTAACACTACCTTAATTAAACGCAAGTCAGGTTGGCCTATTTAAATTTAATTTTTAGGATTTTAGGAGTTTTAGGAGATTGAATGCAATTTTATGAGAATTTTAGGAGTTTTTAAGATTTAAGCCAAATTTTAGGAATTTTACGAGTTTTAGGAGGTGTGGTAAATGTTTCTCATAAGTCATAATTTTACGATATTAAGACCACTTTATAACCGTAAATAATTTCTATTCACCTGGTATTTTTTAGGGTTATTGGTGGTAATAAATACTATTAATATTGACTAATCAAAGAAAAATAAAACTTTTTTTCAGGTCGCCATAATGAGTTTTTTAAGATGGCATCCATTACTTATCAAAACATTTATATAATATTTTTTAATGCAAAATATTATTAGTTTTGACAATTTGAGTTATATTTTTTAATTTTACTCTAGGGTGGCCTTTATTACTTTGCAAGTACCATTTTGTAAAATATAAATTAAAAGAACAAAGAAATTACGAATGTCAATGTTTTAGAAAGAGAGAGCAAACAGTTAGTAATTATAGCGTTATTTTTGCGTAAATTTGTGGTATTTATATTGTTTTTATTACATTATTCTTAGTAGATCAAAAAGGTTATTATGTAGGTAAAATAACGAAATAAACCATTGGTAATTTTTCGTATATAAACCGTAAATATACTTTAAAGTAGTAAATTTTGTAGTTAAATATTTAAACTTAAAATGCTGCTTGGGTGAAGTAGGCATTTTTACCTGGCACTCTGTGGCCACAGCCCTGGCGAGTAAAGTTTTCCCGTTTCCGGGGGGTCCAAATAGCAACAATCCCCTGGCGGGGGTCCTCAACCCCGTGAACAGTTCCGGTCTCAAGGACGGTAGAATGACCATTTCCTGCAGAGCTTGTTTCGCGGTTTCCTGCCCGACAATGTCCTCCCATTGGACAGCGGCTCCCCCCTCCACTATTTCGTCCAGGATGTTTTGGGCCAACTTTGAGTCCACCCCTCGCAGGGTGGGAGATTTGCCCCTGATATTTGCTTCAAGAAAAATACGAACGATATTTATCTGAATTCACTTTTGGCAGTAAAAATGTCTTCCGGTCAAAACCCACAATTTTTTGTTGCATTTTATATCACTTCCGGTTTAACCGGATGTGAGAGGCAATGAAAATAATTTTAAAAAACATCGATATTTCAATGCCTACCAATCCTCCATTTGAAAAACCAAAGTTTATATCACTTCCGGTTTAACCGGAAGTGACAGGCATTGCAAATAATTTAAAAAAACATGGATACTTCAACGCCTACCATTCTTCCATTAGAAAAACTAAAGTTGATATCACTTCCGGTTTAACCGGAAGTGATGGGCATTGAAAATAATTCAAAATAAATAATTAAAATCGCTGATTTTTTTTTACAAAAACTAACCTTTGGTGCTGGAGGTGCCCGGCAAGGAGTTCAACCCCTTCCGGGCTGGGGAGCCGGAGTTTCCGGGCACGCTCAGTTGTTTTTTGATGGCAGGTGGTGTGGACGAGATTTTGTTGAAAGGTCTGACAGGTTGTACGGGTGTGGTTCTGCTACCCATCGACCGGGGTAGCGTTTGACTTTTTGACATTACGTTCGCCGCCGGACGTTTACTAGGGACCGACAGTTTTTTACCGGAAGCTAAAATTATTTTTTTTTTAATATTTTTGGTTGAATTGGGATTGTAAAAAAAATCATCACAGTACAGTCAAAAGTTGCAAAAAAATGACCAACCAAGGACAATTTTTTTCAACAAATTTGACAGATTGACTACAACATAAAACCCATGGTATACAAGAAAACAAGGTATTTAAATTCTATTAAAATAATTAATTTTAACATTATTATTTAATTAGAGATTAATTAGAACGAAAATAACTTGTTTTTTTGCACCATGATACAACCCATGTAAAATACTTAGTATAGATATAGAAACTTCAAATGTTATTATTAATAAGCTCAACAACCTACATACATATGTATAGCAATATTAAGATTTTAGCATTAAAAATATACAAAATAAGTAAAAATAATCTTTTTTTTTATATTTGAAATAACAAATTTGAAAAAAAAAATAGATTATTTTTTTTTAGAGAAAGGGGTACCTGGTCTAAGAGTACTAGGTCTAAGTGTGGGAATATTGCTAGCTATCATTTTAGAAGGAGTTTCCTTAGCCTCGTTTTCTATACCCATACGCTGTAAACTATCCATGCTCTCTATAAAAATAAAGTACTATAATATTAAACAAATAAACCAAAAAATAACATACACATCGAAATAAACAACAGAAAAGACGACCTTACCTAAAAACTGAAGTCTATCTTTTGCCATCGCAAGATTGGTCTTCATTTTTTCATGTAACCTTTGAGCCCTCTCCCAGACCTCCCCCCTTCCCCCCCAACATTGCACAGCAATGCCCAGTTCCAGTTCAGTAATGCCTTTCCTGTATAACTCAATGGCTAGATCTTTTTGACCTAAAAACAAGATTTTAAGATAGTTAAGAAGTCTCGGGTTTTCGCAACGCGCGCGCCATCTGGTGGACTTCGAATGCATTGCGTGAATTTAAGAATTGTCAAGAATACATTTAAAGCGCAGATTATACATCATTTTTAAATAATAGTAGTTTAAGTCTTACTCGAAAAATTTTGTTCAATTGCACAGCTAAATCGCGCACGTTATTTGTGTTTTACGTTGCAAGGAAAAAATTAAAAAACTTTTTTAGTACTCAATTTCGATTGATTATTCCTTATATCATTGATTAAGAAACTCAACGCTTAAATGTTTATATAGTTACGTTAGTGTGTGTATTTTATCTAAGGGATCATGGTGAATTATTGTGTTTTTAATTGTAAATAAAATTCAAGAACTAAATCGTTGCATTTTCATGTTTTGAAAAAGTATCCAATTCGGTAAGTACATTTGTTGGTGCAGAATTAACTAATGATAACTTTACCTAATATAATTTATATTTAAGTTTGGACATTTTTAAGAAATTAGTAAAAAATAATTTTTGCACAAGCATAACCTTAAAATCAACCATTTTTGTGTTTGAGTTCTCTAAAAACGCCGACAACTGCATTTTAAACAACAAAATATACCTACGAATTCATGGCAACATAATATTATATAAAATACATAATATAATGGTATTTTACCGTTGAGTGGAGACTTTCTTAATCAACGCTTTTAATAATGCTAAATGCTGTTTAAATTTAGACGACTTATTTGTTTGACGATTTTTACTGAATTGAAATGTTTACACTTTTCACGTTAATCACTACTAAAATGTGTATTTATTGTATCTAATAGGTCCAATTTATATTTACAGAGACTGTATGCAATTTATTTCTTCATTCAGATTAACACTGTTTATTGGAAAACCGGTAAAAACTCAACCCAGGATTTCCTCTCGAAATACACCCAACAACACAACAAATCGAGCCACGGTTTTTTTTCCGATATTTTTTAACATTTTCCGGCTTTATTCTCAAAAACATTTGTTTGTAGCTGATTATTAAAAGTTATACTTTATATGAAGGAGTTTTTTAATTATAGCGGGAAAACGTCAAAATGTATGTAAATTTTATAATTAATTTTTTGTTTATCTGGCAAAATTAATTTTTATATTGTTTTTAAATAGAAGGTAAATGTATACATTGAGGTTAAATCAGTTTGACAGATGTCAGATTGATAAAAAGTGAGGTTAAACTGTTTATTAAAAACTCGCTCCAGCATTAAATAATTCTTGAATAACTCTTGTGTTAAATGACGTTTATAATACTTGTTGAATAATATATATACTATAATCATTACCTTCATTTTCTTCATCAATTTTTAGAGCTTTGGAAATGTACTCGAAAGCCCTTCGATGGTGATGTTTCTGCTTGGCCAAAAGGGGGTCTCCAGGACCTGGCCCCGTACTTCTATGACTTGTGGCCATTTCAGGTGCCTCTTCGACTACAACAGAACTAGACTGACCATTCTCCAAATCCACCTTTCTGTGCCTGACAAAGTAACTGGAGGAACTGCAGTAAACGAAACGCAAGACCACGAAAAATTGGTACAGGAGGGAACGTAACACGTTAAAGAGGAAAATAATCGGGAAGGAGACTATACATAAATTCCGTTTGTGGACCGAAGTGCTCGTAGCGAACATCACATCACTGTTTGAGGCATCGGAGTCGTTTTTCCGCGACTTTTTGCTCGGCGATTTTCCGCTTTGACTTTTGCGAACCATCCGTAGGCCATCACAAAACTAAGGGCTCTGTTGCCAAACCGACAAACGTCAAAAGAAATTTATCGCTTCTTCGTGCAGTTCCTCACATTTATCATATAAAATATTCCCCGAAAGTACTTATCGTAATACAAACTTTGTTCAACAACAAAGAACAATTGTTTTTGTATGAAAATTATTCAAAAAATTGTCACACATGACAACCAGGTGGTTAAAAATAAACAAATGTCAAGTAAACAATAAAAACAAGCCTCATTTACCTATTCCGCAGATTTTATCCCAACAAATTCACGTTTAAATGCAAAAAAACTGTAACATAACCACCACTTAATACGGTTTATGAATAATAATCAAATAATTAAAAATTCGAACCTAGCGACATCTACATAATAAAATTTAAAACAAAATCGTTGCACCAGAGATGGCGCCATACCACAAAAAGAAGAAGAAGACGATCAATTTTTGACGTTTAATAACCTAGAAATAAACTGTACACAAAATGTCAAGAAATAAGTAAGTTTTACAGTTAAAAACAACACCAATCGTGTTTACAACTTTTTTATTAAACATTTTAGCATAAAAATTCTTCCGGGGGCTCTAGTATGCGACGAGTCCAAACTCAGGGGCGATATTACGATAGGGGCTGGAACTATAATACACCCCTGTGTTAATATTAATGCGGAGGCTGGCCCTATTATAATAGGGGACAGCTGTTTGATAGAAGAGCAAGTCTCCATAACGCATAGGTTACCTTTCGATCAGCAAGAAAAAGAAAATACTCCTGTGATGATAATTGGGTCCCATAACGTCTTTGAAGTTGACTGTACAGTGGAGGCGGCCAAAATTGGCAATAGCAACGTTTTCGAGGCAAAATGTTATGTCGGGCCTAGAGTTACGGTGTCAAATGGTTGCACAATCGGGGCTGGGTGTAGGCTGACCGAAGAGCAAATTTTGAAGGAGAATATCACGGTTTTTGGGGCGGATTGTCAAATGAGGGAGGCTATCGATGTGCCAGCTGTAAGTGTTTTGTTTGTTTTTAGTTTTAACGTTTCTAATGGCATTTTTTTAGAAACAAACTTTACAAATGGACACCTTGATGAAAATGCTACCAAATTATCATCACATTAAAAAACCCAACAAAAAAACTGATGCTTTTATAAAACAAATTTAATCATAATTTTTTAAGTTTAATTATTTAATATAATTGTAAAACATTTTTAATATATTTATTAATCAATAAAATAAAAACTAAACAAAAATATAAAAAAACATTTGTGCCCCAAAAATGGCAAAATATTTTAAATACCTTCATTTTTTTTATTTGTTTTTTTTTGTTAGGTTGGTGGCTTATGCCAGTTTGATATTTTTAGTATTTAAAAATGGTACTTTTGCTAAAGAATTTAATTAAATACTTTGACACTGTCAAATTGACAATAATATTTTTGTGAATTATAAATAAAAAGATAATTATGCCAAAAATAATAGCAACGAATTCGAATGTAAAAGCCCTTTTGAGGGCAAAACTTCATTTTGATGAAATTATGCCAAATGCCACAATGGAAGAAAAAGTACATCGCCTTATGGACATTTTTGGAGTAAAAAAGTAATTTCGTTTTATAAATATTACATCATACATTATTTTCACATTATTCACCATTGGACAACATTTACGTTCACAAAAAATTTTAATTTCTTTTCAAAGCGAAGATTATTATAAGCTAGGAATACTTTCTCTTCTGGGCAGTAAAGCAACCTATATTTAACTACTTTTTTATATGATTTTACTCATCCAAGCACCACCAAAGCCAAATTTATTGCATTTTTAACTACGAATTTCGAACACTCAACTAGACAACTGCACAATGTAACCTACAATAATTTATACATAACCACAATTAGATTTATAACTAGCTTAGTTTGTTTTAATCAATGCGACCAACTTGACAACTGTATTTACCAACCAATACCCTAAATTTGCAACGTTTCCGCAGTCCAGATAAAAAAAATGAACTTTACAAACTTGACAACATAGCACTATTGTCAAAAAGCATTGTTTTGCAGAAATAACTTTTTTTTAAATTAATATTTTTTTTCTTTTTTACTGTGTTAAAAAAATGTAAAACTCACAAGTAACGTTTAATTTAAAAAAAGTTGTGGCAAAAAATAAAGCAAATTTTTTTTTTTTAATTTTAAAAAATTTTGATCTGCTTGGCTGAAAATAAGATGTGATTTAATATTTGTGAAACCAAAAACGTTACTTTTTTACTCAAAAAATGTCCATAAGGCGATGTACTTTTTCCGCCATTGAGGCCCTTAAAAGTTCTTTTACTTTAAAATCTGATATTATTTTTGGCATAGTTATCTTTTTATATCGACATTATACAATGATTAACAAGTAAATTATCAGTAATACCAACCTAATAAAAAAACACGAGTCCAAATAAAAAAAATTAACTGAACTTACCTATTTATAAAATCAAAAATTACGACCCTTCGAAAAAACAAAACAAAACAGTCGCATGGCGCAGCCAGAACAAAATCAAGCGCTCTCATTTCCCATTCGGACGCGTCGAAACGAATGCAATTAATTACGCCTAGATTGCTCTCAATCGAGTCGGCCACGGCCATAGAATCTCTCTCTCTCCTTCTCTGGGACTCTGATGATGATTGAAACGGCAACAATGCAGCCGGACAGGTTGACAGTCGAACAAAAGAGCGCCACCCCTCTCCTCAGTCGACTCGAACAAAGACGAATCGCGAGAGCACTTTTGATGTCCATCACTAATTTTCGAGACCCTGTTTTGTTCCATTTCAAATGTTTAGGTGCCAACTAATTTTTATTTATTTTACCCAGATTATATATGTATATATATATTTTTTTTTTCAGAAAAATGTGTTTAGTTTGAAATAAAATGTACTTAGTTCACAAACTTTTGACTCCAATTTTCTATTAAAAATTTTATGCTTTTTTTTAAATATGTATGTTCGTTAAGTTACTTTTTAAAAGAAACCATTCCGATTCTTTGTTAAAAAAACAATACCATTAATATTTTCTTTTAGTCACTGTATTAGTGAATTAAACTCTAATTTATAAACACGTATTACCAAGTGATAGTGTATAAAAATCATTTTAAGTATTTTTTTAAACAAAAACTAAAAAAAGTAACGAAATAGACATTGGTATCACAACGGACAGGGGTACACAAAGGACTTAATCAGATAACGTAAAAAAGAAACTATATAGGGTGGTACGATTTTAGAGTAATGCATAAACAAAATCCCTTGTAGTGGTGCTAACTTGCAGAATAACAACTTTCTAGACACCCTTTTTCTTTGACTATAAGCTGGTGAAGGTCCCTTTTAGTACTTTTATATTACGTGGAATTTTTCCTTGGATGTAATCTATATCATGAGTTGTAATTACAAATAATTTTAAATTGGTTAATCATAAACTACTTTTAATAAAAGCGACGGTAAATATCCACTTTGTTGTCGAAAAATTCTATTGCGTTACCCTAAATTCCATTGCGTTACCATAAGGTAACGCAGTGGACAAAGTTTTGTAAAACCATATTTAAAAAATAATAAGACATTATAGTCATTAATTACTCTTAATGGGCTTTAGTGCCCTAAAATAAACATTAACATGAAAAATAGTATTTTTTCTTACCTTATTTTTATTATTTTTTTGAGTAACTTAGCGGACAAACCATTATTACATTCGCGTTACCCGCACCTGTTTCAACCGATATCTTCTTCCTGATTGAATAAATAAATTCAGCTGGGTAATGTGTACGTCCAAACATCATTTGTTGATCACGTGAGTGCCAAAAAAGTTGCCATATATATGTTTTTTTTAATAATCTATCGGTAACGCGACGGACGTAACGCAACGGAAAAAATGTCTGGGAAACGAGTCAATTTTAAAAAATGTTGATTAAAATTAATTATTTTATATATAAATTGTTTACTGCATTAACTAAGGATGTTATGAATTGCTATAAAGCAACACAAAGTTCTGGTTATTCAATATTTAAAAAAAAACATGCATGTAAGTTTTATAAAACGCTAATGGGACATGCAAAAATGTGTTTCACAAGTTTCAAAATTAAAAAAAAAATATTCTGAAATAACTAAACAAAAATTTTCTGAAAGAGTTTACTAAGGGCTTGTTAGGCTTTTACTTGGTTTTTAAATCAATAAGATCCGATAATTTTTAACAATGTTATTGGAATTCAAACTTACGGACAGCGGAAGGCGGGTGTTTTTTTAAAACGACCCATATCAAAAAATGTGTTTTTTATTAAAAAAGGTTTTTTTCTTAATGCAACCCTTAATTAGGTACTAACCGTGGGGAATCGTTATCATAATAGTAGTTTTCGATTGAATCAAATATTCAAATAAATTGGCAATTAACGTGAACGGGCTTTAACAATCGCCCGTTTATGAATAATAAACCGATTCTCCTTCCCTAATTACCGTTTACAAAAATAATTATACACATAAACTGTAATAATATCCTTATTTTGCTTACTTTCTGTGGTTGTTGCCACGAAATGTTTACCCCTCCGCGACCCCTCAACCCCCCCTCTACTTCGATTACTCCCCTCTTGCACAATAATCGTTAAATCCAGAGACGAAACCAGGTTTTTGTGTTCATAAATGTATATACATTGAGTCATTTAACTTACAAACGACGAACTCTTTTTTTCGGTTGAACACTCCCGTTTGTAGTAAACTGCTCGACTGTACGGTGAAATAAAGTACGTGATCGAATTTTATCCGGAAAACGCTGAGCGTAGATATTAACACCATCATCAAGATTTCTGCCTGCTTCTCCATAAATCAAAATCATTTCTATTTTTTCTTCCACTGTTAAAAAATCCATTACGAATAACTGTTTAACGAAAGGAGGTATTTTTGTTTGCAAATTAATCTTGGAACTAAATTGATTAAATGTTGCTAAACTATAAATAGTTTCTTTATACCTCAACTATAATTATTATTTATAACTATATACCATTTTTTATACCTCAATTAGGATTAAATTAATTAATTGACAAAATAATGTTTTTTTACCTTTAATAAATGAGGTATTTTTATTAAAAATGGTACAATAATCCTTTAAATTAAAGGATTTAATGCTGGCAGGGAAAAAGTGACCATGGTGGGCAATTGATGTTATAATATTAGTAAAAAATAAAAGATAATTATTACCAAAAAAAGTGATATTTTTATAGAAAAATTATTGCAGAATCGTATACGTACAGAAGAAAAATCGAACAAATTTGATTTTTTTTACAACATTTTTTCATAAAATGTAAATTAACTGAGATATTTCAAAGTTTTAAGTTAATTGTTTATAGATAGGTATAGCGCAATCGTGTTTTGTAATTTTTCACATTGTAAAGAATTCAAATTAAATTTGTGTAGTAAGACAGGCGGGGTATACAGCTGATGAAAATATCTCAGAGAAATTCGTTTTCACGCCCAAGTACCAAAAATCAACTAAATCATGGAGCAAATTGGCCAAACTTCCTTAAACGCACTATGACACGAAATATTTTAATTTAAGTTGGTACTACCAAAGATATTATCTTATGTCTGTTCCATAGATTTCCATTTCTCTATTCTCTAACTATATTTGTGTCCCTATTTAAGAAGTATAATAAATATGTCAAAATCGATTCGCCATGCCGTCCTTAATTTACTTATTTTCAATGAGCGGCTGAAGAAGAAAAAAAAGATTTTCTTTGGTGTTAAACAAAATTTATTGCCAGAAAAGTCTCGTAAGTACAAGAAAAATCATAAAAATATTATAAACTATACGCAAAATATTATGCTGTTTAAAGTAAAGCCAACCTATAAAATCAAAATTTTGGGTGGGATAAAGTATATCATTACAGCACCGTAAGCGGTGTTATAATGAAGTCATTATGAACGCAAAATAGATAAAAACTTTTTAGTACATCTTTCATTAAATTAGAGAAAAATATCGACATAAGAATAATTTTACCTCATTGTGCGGGGTTCTATTTATCTCCATGACAAATTACACGACGTTCGTTTAGCGGGTAGCGTTCAACCGGCTAAAAACACATGTATGTGAACAAACGTGAAAAGAAAAAATAAATACATGAACGAGATTATCTCGTTCCATGAGATAAACGAATTTTGTAAAAAAAATAATAATATATTTAATGTCTAAAAAT